ACTCAGCTGTGCGAGTTTACAGTCCTAGTGCAGCTCATTAAGTGACTTATTGTACAGTCTGACAGCGGCGGGGATGATAGCCTGTTTTCTAATGGTGAAAGTATGTTGTGGTCTGATTTTCTCACAAAACCTTATTTCTGGTGGTGGTGCAGTGGTGCACACTGGGGTAGTCTTGCACAGTTTTTCCAATGTGGTTTTACTGCAAATGGCAAATAAATGAATCTGAATCGGAATCTTCTACAACACTTTCTGTTTCCACACCAGATGTATTATTTATGACACCAAAGTTTGGCGTCTCCACTTTGATGTTAATGCCGTATAATTCAGTAACATAACTAGAGGTGGCCGGGATTACAGTATTTACTTTGTCCACTTCATTAACTGAATGAAGTGGGCAGCGAATTACATTTTAATCGTTATCTGATCATGACTTTTAACTCACATTTTTATCAAACTCCAAATTTTTTACACTTTTCACATCAATACCTTGTTCTTTTAAAAGTGCTAACCGCTTACTTCCTGTCTAGCCCGAAAGTTGTCAAAATCCATTAACAGAACAAAAGCACAAATCAACCTTTACAGCGTCTGTTTATATATTTACTTTTATTTTTACCAAATGATTTTTCTGAGCAAAACTAATACATTTTACCTTGGACTGAACCAAAACTGGATCAAATGACGGAAACGCTTATTTCTGCGAACTGAAAGACCGAGTATTATGGAGCCTGCAACGACATTTCGCCTTTAGAGCCAAGTCTTGTTTATTTTTGCAGATATGACTGGTTTTTATGTGTTCTAAACCCTAAAACGCTGTATTTACACACAAAGACACACATAGATAAGAGTTCCTTTATTCGTCCCACAGTGGAGACATTTCAGTGTTGCAGCGCACAGACAGGACAGTAGTAGGAGCACACAGGGATCACACACAAAATATACAAAATAAGTAGTAGCTATGTATCTTAACTAGCATAACTGGCTGTAGATGCTGGAAATGCTTCAATACCAGTCCAAATATATATATACATGTAGAAGTGCAGTGTTATGTACTGCACATGGATAATAAGCAGATGCGGCACATGCTTAAGGGCAGACCTCTCAAAGCTCTCAGGTCTCCAACGATGGTTCCCAATCCCTGGTCCTGGGCCACGGTCATTGTTTGTACTTAGTTTAGTTTTCTGGTGTGTTTTGTTTTGGAAATTCAAAGGTTTCCCACACACAAGGTTGATAGTGTTGTAACATATTATGATTAAGATTAAGATTAGGAGATCCTGTATTCGTCCCACAGTGGGGAAATCTCAGTGTTGCGTCGTAATTTATAGAACTATAGGAATGAGGAGCACGCGGCACAAGATAAGTGATTCTCTAACACCAAAGAACAAGTATAAAATCTCTATCTTGAACATCATAATAATAAAGAAGTATAAAAATATAAATTATGGTGTTAGTTTTCTAGATGCCACAAAAATAGTCAAAGGCATTTTTTTTTACCTTTTAAAATTTAAAATTAAACTTGTTATTGTATAGTACTGAACACTGTTCCATGGTGATAGTGTCTGCTCCCCCCTTATGGTGTTTCTTCTTTCACATTGACTCATTTGATGCAGTTTCCATGTTAAAATTGGCCCTTTGAACCATCTGACACATGTAAATGCTCACACCAGCTGACCACTCGCACCAGCTGAGTGCATTGCTACCTGCTGTGAGAGCGGCTGGAGAAAAGAAGACATATTTGTGGCTGTGTGGAAGTATTGAGCTGCAGCCGGGCCTGGTGCCAGCTGCCGGAGCACCTTCAGGACGCGCCTCCAGAGCCAGCCGCCCCGTCCCAGTCAGAGCCAGGCATGTGTCCCCGTCCCCAGCCCCGGCCCGAGCCAAGATTACATTTCAGGACACAGCCGAGCCTCTGGGGGTTTAAGGCAGTGCAGTGCGGAGGGGTAACGTTAGGTCTTTCATCAGACAAGAAATGGTGAATTCATGCAGGTTTGCACTCAGTATGGATTTGAGTTGAACATAAAGGATAATGCTAACATGGCAGTACAGAGTAACAGAAGGACCCTGCAAAGAAACTCATGTTATCTTGACTTTGATTTCACGATTTCCCAAGTGTGTTTTTCAAATGTCTGCCCATATGAATCCAGCATGCTAGTTCAAGTCATTTAGATGTGCGGCCATACATAAAACCTTGACATTTTTCACATCGCATAAAAAAAGAAGCAAATTAGTCACATTCATTGATTTATTGGCCGGCCCTAGTTAATGGCATGAGTATTTTCTTTCTTCTAAGATATACCTTAATGCACAGTTTACACCATGCAGACGGTAATTTGGTTCCAACACCTCTCACTCAAAGCACCTGCACACACCCACGCACCTACACCTCTCTCCCATCACCTGGTTTCTTTCACGTTCCACTTCAATGCTTCTTCATCGACAAACTTTTTGAAACGATATCATGGTAGAACACGTTTTTAAACTGTCTGTAAGTTGAGAATACACATTGGTTTTAAAGTAGCTCTAAATTCAGACACACACATTGATTCCTCTGAGTCTGTAATTATCATGGATTCTATCATTGAATACGTTTTTTACATTAGGTGCAGAGAGTTTCCACACGCCCGGTCGAACTGCTTCTTATGTGTACGTGTAATTACACAATTCCACCACCAGGGGGCGAGAGGCGTGACGTCTCTGGAAACGAACTGGATTAGTTGTGTTACCTGAGATGGGGAAAACTTACGCATAAAGACCTTTGGAAAACATGCATCCCCTAGAAGTCCTATGGAAGAGCCAATCGTCAGTGTTTAGCACAGACATAAGCCATGTTTTGGGTTTCTCAGCGACCAAAAACACAGGATTTGTGTTTTGCATTTAGACTCTGGCAGTCCGAAGTATGTGACATCATGTATTCATTTAACGTCATGTCAGCAACTGCAACAAAAAGCTCTCCCAAACAATGTACAGAGATGTCGACTCCTCTCTGAACAAACTTAGGCCTTAAATGTAAAACAATAATTATGCATTCTTTTATATTGAAGGCTTGGAAGGTTCTAAAAGTCCTGCTTCATTTCCACATGTTTGGGTGGTAGACTTCCGCCGTCGTCAGAGGAGACAGCTGTCGTTACCGGATGCTTCTTGGCACTTTTGTCTTATTAAAAGAACCTTCTAAGCCTCGGACTCAGGCCCTGTCCAGACGGAGACCATTTACTGTCGGAGCCGGTGACTCTGCTTAATGAATGCGACACTTTCTGAAACCGAGTCGAAGAGTGGAGACGTTTGGAACCGAAATAAACGCCTCACTGTGTTTACGTTAAATATATATAAGTAGGTTTTTCTTATTTATATGTTTTTAATGTACGGCTGGATCCATGCTCCTCCCTTTCCACACGTTATGAAAAAAAATTATGAATACATCTACTACAAAGTCATTCAAATCTCTGAGGTGAATTGGACAGATACATTTACAGAGTCGGTTCTTTCTGCATGTAATATGGTTTCAAAACTACACATCATCATCTGTGAGTGGACAAGGCCTTAGATACTCGTAGTCCCCTGAGATGAAGGGTTTCAGGGTATTCAACCACAAGACTCTACAACCAATCTGCATGAGCTAAACATGGCACTTGTTTCTTTATTACAAGTGTCCTATTTTCATAAGTGCTTTTGATTTGTCTCTCTATGTCGCATAAATTTAACTATGGCTACATCCACTCAAAGCCAAAACACTTTCAGTTTCACAAGAGTTAATTTAGTAAATCTTTGCGTCCTCTTGAATGAAGCCAATATGCCTGAACCTGCGGTGAGACTACGCCAGGCCTGCTGGTGGCGCTGTGACGCAATGGGATCAAGGCCAGATTCTGCAGAGAGACAGTAACCATGGAGCTTTGAGATATTTCCATTCCTGGATTCAAAAATGTGCGTTTTCAGAACCCAAAACGCCTGCTTTGTATGGATTATACACTGGATTGATTCAGTATTTTTGCGTTTAGGCCCGAATTTGACTTTGTGTGGACCACCTTAACATTGCACAAAGTTTGATTTCTTAAAATGGGTCAAATACACTTCAAAACTAAAGTGTCTAAAGTTTAGAAACTCTCTTTTTTAAAGCATGCGTTGGCCTATTTTTGCTCTAACTTCTTTCCACCGAGAGCACATTCCTAGTTTGTGACCTCCTGTTGCTTTAAATGGCAATAAAATGATGTATTTAAGCCTTTACGTGCATGCAGACTGAAATAATATTTGTAGTATATTGGTTATATTGAAATAAGTGTGTGCTTGCGTCTCCACAGACCTGTCCTTGTCCTGAAGTTTTCTTTAGAATCTGCCACTGCACAGTTTTAACCTAATTATTTAAAATGGAATCATGCCCGTGATTTTCCACCTCCTAAAAGTTATGTACTGCTGTTGTTCTGTTCACAAATCGTATTTTAAAAGTCAAAAATTACGATCTCAGTAACGCGATCGGAGCAGAATGCAGCTGTGACATTTGAGAACCCTGCTGCCCTCGTTTTGTTTGTGTTGTGCAAACGTTTGTCCTCGTAAACAGCAGCAGCGTCGCAGCTTTTTCTGTCTGCAACCTCAGACCGCGCCGCGTCCTACGGTCAGCGGCAGGACACGCGGCTCGTCCTGAGGCAGGACACGCGGCTCGTCCTGAGGCTGGACACGCGGCTCGTCCTGAGGCTGGACACGCGGCTCGTCCTGAGGCAGGACACGCGGCTCGTCCTGAGGCAGGACACGCGGCTCGTCCTGAGGCTGGACACGCGGCTCGTCCTGAGGCTGGACACGCGGCCTGTCCTGAGGCTGGACACGCGGCTCGTCCTGAGGCTGGACACGCGGCTCGTCCTGAGGCTGGACACGCGGCCCGTCCTGAGGCTGGACACGCGGCCCGTCCTGAGGCTGGACACGCGGCTCGTCCTGAGGCTGGACACGCGGCCCGTCCTGAGGCTGGACACGGGGCCCGTCCTGAGGCTGGACACGCGGCCCGTCCTGAGGCTGGACACGCGGCCTGTCCTGAGGCTGGACACGCGGCCTGTCCTGAGGCTGGACACGCGGCCCGTCCTGAGGCTGGACACGCGGCCTGTCCTGAGGCTGGACACGCGGCTCGTCCTGAGGCTGGACACGCGGCCCGTCCTGAGGCTGGACACGCGGCCCGTCCTGAGGCTGGACACGCGGCTCGTCCTGAGGCTGGACACGCGGCCCGTCCTGAGGCTGGACACGCGGCCTGTCCTGAGGCTGGACACGCGGCCCGTCCTGAGGCTGGACACGCGGCCCGTCCTGAGGCTGGACACGCGGCCTGTCCTGAGGCTGGACACGCGGCCCGTCCTGAGGCTGGACACGCGGCCTGTCCTGAGGCTGGACACGCGGCCCGTCCTGAGGCTGGACACGCGGCCTGTCCTGAGGCTGGACACGCGGCCTGTCCTGAGGCTGGACACGCGGCCTGTCCTGAGGCTGGACACGCGGCCTGTCCTGGTCACCGAAAGAGCTTTACAATGTTCAGAGTTCAGATATCGTTCCATTCTCTCCAAACGGTGATGACGGAAGTGAGACGCCGAACACACTGGTCCATCAAAGCCTCCGACCAAACACCATCCATTCACTCATTACATTCAGACCCATGTTTTTAGTGGTAGTGGAAACCGGAGCACCCTGAGGAAACCTATGCAGACACGGGTTAACATGCAAACTCCACTCAGAAAGGCCCTGTTCCGACCGGGATTCGAACTCAGGACCTTCTTTCCATAAATTAGACTTGCAACTTTAATAATAATAATAATAATAATGAATCACAAGAAATCAAATAGATTCAATTATCAACTATTTTAGAGATTGATTAATGATTAACTGCTCTTTATAAAGAGTCCAACTGTGAAATGTGGTTTTAAAACAGCAGTAAATACAACATATTTTTCAGGATTTTAGGATCAATCATCGAAGTAATTATTAGTTACAGTTCTAATATAAACAAATCATTCAAATATGTACTTTTTTTGTCTTGACTCATGCAACCTTCGTTAGCATTAGCCAAAAGGTGCTAACTACAAAGACGGTTTATTTTTGCGAGGCATAAAAAACAATGGGTAATCAAACACAATTGCAGACTGGATTCAAATGTAAACATTGATTGACATTTGTTGGAGATGAAGTTGCCTGAATGATGATCGCTTACATTTTATTACATAACAAGTCTCTTCTCTCCTCGTGTCCGCTCTCTCTGCTGTTCACATAAACATAAACAGCTGATTGGGTTGTGTCCAAACTACCTCACAGAGTTTAAAGACCTTGAAAAAATACTTATAGTTTGGTAATTACGGTAGTTACTAATTACCGAATGTTGAGAAAAGCACTTTTATGGACGTTTATGTGTGAGAAAGTGAGAATAACTTTGGTTTTGTGCGTTGTCTCTTGAAACAGTAGCCAGTCGTAGTTGTCAAACATATATTACTTTATAAAATGACTCATATTCTTGAACCCTCAGCTCTAGTCCTGGGCTGGACCGGCTTCATCAACATTGGACCCAACATAGTCCCTTTATGTCCCGTGGCTTGATCAGATTTCACAGTAGAATCTCGAGAGCGTAAAAAGCATTTCCAAAGCCCTGTTCACATGTTCCAGGCGTCCTGCGTGTTGATCCAAGCCCTCGGCACCCTCCGGGCCGTGGAAGGGGGGACCCGGCCCGAGGCGTGGTCCGCGGCCTCCCGGCTCTGTAATTGAAGCCCCAAGTTTTGTGGCTCTTTCTCCCGGGGCCACATGATTCACAATCTAAATAAATAATGGAGTAATGGGGCCACCCAAATTACAGGCTCTATATTTAACGGTGAATTGAAAGTGCAGGAGCAAAAGAAACGCAGTCTGGCCTCGGTTATACCTGCTGCCTATTCATCGGCAGAATATGAAGCGTAAAACATGGAACTAGAACTTTCTCCTTTCTCAGGGCGGGGCCAATTAGACTCACTGAAAGTAGACACTCCGACCAGAACTAATCTGTGTTTAATCCCAATTTTTACATTTTTAAAAAGACATATTGTACAGAAAACAAAATTGTCTCCTTGAGTTTCGTGGCATGTTCCAACACTGTTCCTCCCTTAAATGACCTGGAGTTGTTTTGATCCTCATCCATGCTAACATCTGGAACTTCTGCCACAACCCCCCCCCCCCCCCCCCCCCCCCACCCCCTTCTGTGTCCCCAACATGGTGCGCTTTGATGGATTTAACTGATTATAATTTCAGAAAGATTTAGCGCAAAAGTGCAGTATGCGGCCAATATTTTGCGGTCTATAATATCGAAAATTATATTAGCATAGTCTCATTATCCTGTTGAAGGGCCACCAATAAAGCATGGATAATATTTTGTTCTAATAGATTCCCTTCTCATCAGTCAGACTGCACGTGGAGGTGATCGATGCCCAAGTCTGATCCCTGAGACTGAAAAACCGTCCGATCATGTGGTTTGGACTGAGACTGTCATTGGACCAGCCATGACCCTGTTAGAGCCGACCAAGTGTGAGACAGGAGCCTTTTTACACAGAGGGTGTTTGTCCTGATTTGGGCCAAAAGTTCCAAATATTAGAACATCAATGGAGCAAAAAAACAACTCCAGGTCTGTTTCTCAAATATAATGCTTTGTGGGTAAAATGTTGTTACATGATGAAAATTGCAAAGACGATTTAGCATAACAGGCCCAGAGCCATGACTAAAAGTGTATTAAAAGTGTGTTTGTTTTGCTCTATGACACCTGTGCACAGTCATTATACATCTGCATCAGGGGTGTCCAAACTTTTTAGCAAGAGGGCCACTTTAGTTCATCAGGCTTGACTGTATTTGAGCTGGATTGACTGGATTCTGGAATTTAAATTTGGTTTTGATACGTCCTTATTGAGTCACAGCTGCATTTTATGTGGAATGTTGTGACACAATTGCAAAACAAATGTCGCTAAATAACAATAGGGCCAACCAGTTATTTCCAGAATGTCAAAGTGCCTCAATGGCAACTTTGTGTTAGTAAGTAGTTTTTCTATATAGCGCATTTTTCAGACCAAGGTCCCCCAAAGCGCTTTACAATGTTCAGAGTTCAGATTTGTTGTTCCCTTCTCTCCACACGGTGATGACGGAAGCGAGTCGCCGAACACACTGGACCATCAAAGCCTCCGACCAAACACCATTAAGTCACTCACTCCTTACATTGATACCTATTGTGCATGTTTTTAGTGGTAGGAGAAACCGGAGCGCCTGGAGAAAACCTACACAGAGAAGCGAGAGTCCAATCCACTCAGCCACCGTGCTGTTATTAGCAGAGGGCCACATACAATGAAACAGAGGGCCGCAATTGGTCCGCGGGCCTGAGTTTGGACATGCATGATCTACATAATAATTATAAATTGCTAATCAAAAGAACAAGTCCTGGGGTGGGGTACTTAGACTCACACAAACAAGTTCAAACAAGAAAGCACTGATCTTTATTAATTATTACGGAGTTTTGTCCATTGTCTTTTTGGACCATAACATACAGTATATAATTCATGAAATTAGAAAAAAACCAAAATATGACCCACAGTGACATTGCATTTTTAATTGTAGTCGCTCAGTAACGTATTTGCTTATTCCCAAAACCCTCTGCTCCAGTGTGTGTTCTTGATATCAGTGGATTCTCTCTAACTCAATCAGACGTGTGCGCCACTGCCTCGACCATATATCTCCGTGTCAGAAGCGCGTCTGTCGCTGCGACCAATTATTCTCTGGTAGTTTGCCCAAAGAATTATGCGCAGCGAGGGGCTTTTAAGTTGTTTTCAGATTGGGTCTGCGCATCTGCGGCTCCCAACGGCTCCCAGCTGCTGCCGCTCCCTCCCACCGCTCAATTTGCTCTTAAATCTCAGCCGTCGAAGTGTAATGAGGTTAAATGCGTGCAGTGCAGAGTGTCTTTATTGTGGAGGCTCCTGTGAACTTGCCCCACACCCTACGTCCCTTTGCCCCCCCGGGAGTCGACCCCGGAGCTGCCACTTTTAGCATGTGCGCTCACACTGCCAGCTAACAAGGACACGCAAAGGGACACACAGGGCAGGGCTCGCTTTGGCCTCAGCAACTTCAGCTTTAGTAAGTAAGTAAGTAAGTAAGCTTTATTTATATACCGCCTTTCACAGACCAGAGTCTCAAAGCGGTTTACAATTGTTATTTTTTGGGCACTTGTCTCTCACTCCACACAGAGATGGGAGCGGGGTCGCCGTACAGGAGGCGCATGCCAGAACTATTGTACATATTTTTAGTGGTAGGGGAAACCGGAGTACCCGGAGGAAACCTACGCAGACACGGGGAGAACATGCAAACTCCACTCAGATAGGCCCTGGTCCGGCCGGGATTCGAACCCAGGACCTTCTTGCTGAGAGGCGAGAGTGCTATCCACCCTTTAATCACATCTGCATTTACAAACCTGCTCTAAAACACGTAGACACGACAGTTATGTGCCATTTTAACAGCATTAATGATGGACAATATTAAACACATAGTTCTGGAAAATAGTATCGTATAAGATAAATGTACATGTCACATATGGCACGGATAGAATGCAAAAAGACAGAAGTGTGCAACATGTTAAAGGTTAAATAAAATTATAGTCTGTGCAGGATTTAATCATGTACAATAAAAGAGTGGCAATACCCCGCTCCCATCTCTGTGTGGAGTGAGAGACAAATCCCCAAAAATAACAATTGTAAACCGCTTTGAGACTCTGGTCTGAGAAAGGCGGTATATAATAAAGATTACTTACTTTCTTGATAGCAGTGCAGGTTTTTTCCAGTCCAAATGCATAACAATGAGGATAATGACGATTTTCTGCAGACATTCTGGTTCCATCTGTCATATACTAGCCTGGTCGTACCACACCATAGTACAAATTACATTCTGTACTAAAGTCTGGATTTGCTCCATTGACTCCGTGAACAGGTGGGAGGGGTTAACTCCTTTTGCAGATTGAAACCATTGGATCTGAGTTTACCGTGACGTATGTAATGAGCCCGAGTGAGTCGTTAGCATTTAGCCTAGCTTTAGCCATCTCCTTTGCCACTAACGGAGCCCGTGTGGAGTAGCGCCACAATCTTTGCCAGCGATTACTGTACATTTGCTAAACATTCCTCTTGCTCCTGCTTCAATTTCTTGATAGAACCAGACCGGATTACTTTACTATCGCATTCTTCGCCAAACTACAACCTTCCCGTTCGACGCAAACTCTTGACGTCTCCCACAACTAACTACAACACCCGCCTCCCGCGCTCTCTGATTGGTCGGATGGAATTCAACCGGTTGTAATCCCAAACACAGGGACCAGACCCAGACGTTACATGTGCGGATGGATAAGGCCTGGCTAGTCATACACTGAACATGAATGTGATAAATGTGGCTGGTCTGGGGCCTGAGCTCAGACTTAAATACATAAAACTTATCATTAAATTAATATATTTGATGTTCTACAGCACTTGGTCCTCACTCGGGCTACAACTAGTCCATGCATTATAGTAGTGAAAGTTTTTTGTTGAATAGAATTTAGTGAAGGATGAATGGTTTGTAGCTTCTTAGACTTAAACATGCGGGAAAGAGGTTTTATGACTCAGGGATAGCAGAGTGAAAGGAAAATGTGTTTACTAAATATTTTTAATCCAACAACTCAAGTTCTCTATGAAGGACAAATGTTGAAAAATACCGTACTCACAGACCTTTAGGATCTAAACCAGACATGCGCAGAAGCCGAGTACCAATGTAAACAACAATGGCGGCGGGTAAGCTAGCTAGCCACATGTGCTCCGAGCGCTACACGGAGGAGAATTCTACGAAACCACTCAAAACTGTACTTTCAGTTTCCATTTTCGCAGCTGCTTTTAAATGCAGAAGGTTGTTGGTTCTTTCACATCTTTGCGGCGAACTGAGGAGGATGTCGTTTGGATTTCAAATGGACCGCGACCATGGTTTACTTTAATGAATCGATACATTTTGGGCATTAAAGATTTATCCACTGCAGTTTATTTTCAGTACTGGAGAGAATTTAGCTATTTTCTTTGGGAATCAATGAAGTTTTAGCTGTGAGGGTTAAAATATGTATGATATGATTCTGTTTGGTCCTCGTGACAGGCCCCTGTGCGTCACCACATCATGGACATTGTTTACATTGTGTACCTTGTTCTGAGGTCCTGAGCATGTGACCGGGTGAGTGCTGCTGCATCACAGACTGCATGGAGTCTTTATAGGACTGAGATAGTCTGGGTCATCTCTAATCATCAAAGATCAGTCGTTTTTTTTTTAAAAGCAGATTTTGACCAAACTCGGCAAAAAGCATTGGCTTCAGAGATGGCTGTTTTTGTAATTATGGCGAGAGGTTTAAATGTATGATTGTCTAACACTGAATCACAACAGCGGTCGTCGAGGAGGACTCTACAATCTTGTCTATTCACCAACGACACATTTATTACAAAGTGTAGCTCCAGGACTGAGGCTGTAGACCCAGGACTGAGGCTGTAGACCCAGGACTGAGGCTGTAGATCCAGGACTGAGACTGTAGCTCCAGGACTGAGACTCTAGACCCAGGACTGAGGCTGTAGATCCAGGATTGAGGCTGTAGATCCAGGACTGAGGCTGTAGACCCAGGACTGAGGCTGTAGACCCAGGACTGAGGCTGTAGATCCAGGATTGAGGATGTAGACCCAGGACTGAGGCTGTAGATCCAGGACTGAGGCCGTAGACCCAGGACTCATGCTGTAGATCCAGGACTCATGCTGTAGATCCAGGACTGAGGCTGTAGATCCAGGACTGAGGCTGTAGATCCAGGACTGAGGCTGTAGACCCAGGACTGAGGCTGTAGATCCAGGACTGAGGCTGTAGACCCAGGACTAAGGCTGTAGATCCAGGACTGAGGCTGTAGACCTAGGACTCAGGCTGTAGATCCAGGACTGAGGCTGTAGACCCAGGACTGAGGCTGTAGATCCAGGACTGAGGCTGTAGACCCAGGACTCAGGCTGTAGATCCAGGACTGAGGCTGTAGACCCAGGACTGAGGCTGTAGATCCAGGACTGAGACTGTAGCTCCAGGACTGAGACTCTAGACCCAGGACTGAGGCTGTAGATCCAGGATTGAGGCTGTAGATCCAGGACTGAGGCTGTAGACCCAGGACTGAGGCTGTAGACCCAGGACTGAGGCTGTAGATCCAGGATTGAGGATGTAGACCCAGGACTGAGGCTGTAGATCCAGGACTGAGGCTGTAGACCCAGGACTAAGGCTGTAGATCCAGGACTGAGGCTGTAGACCTAGGACTCAGGCTGTAGATCCAGGACTGAGGCTGTAGACCCAGGACTGAGGCTGTAGATCCAGGACTGAGGCTGTAGACCCAGGACTGAGGCTGTAGATCCAGGACTGAGGCTGTAGACCTAGGACTCAGGCTGTAGACCTAGGACTCAGGCTGTAGACCTAGGACTCAGGCTGTAGATCCAGGACTCAGGCTGTAGATCCAGGACTGAGGATGTAGATCCAGGACTGAGGATGTAGACCCAGGACTCAGGCTGTAGACCCAGGACTGAATAAGCTCCCTGGTATGTAAACCAGGACCTCCAACATGCACTGGGCCTCTGAATCTTAATAACTTCAACATTTTCTTTTGCTAAAAGAGTGTGGGACATTTGTATTTGGCCTTTTGGGGACAGCCAAAGTGACAGTAAAAGTCTATTGACACTAACAGCTGAGTATGTGCTTCCCTTTAAAATCCCTGAGCTCCTTGATTGTTCCACACTAACAAAACATTGTAAATATTTATGGCCCTTTGATAATGGATCCATCACTGTTGGCTTTGAAACAGGCTTCATTTAGTGAGCACTTCCTCTACATGTGTGTTATGTCAAATGAGACCCATGAACAGAAATGCACTTCTCTTCTGAGCCTCACACACGGGTTATTTGTTCAGTCTTGAGATATCAATCATCTTCTGGGTCGGGGGGCGGCAGTCAGTATTGCTATTGTTATTATTCTCTATTTTTGTCCTATTAGTTTGAAAAATCTATATTGTCTCATTGAATAATCTCATTGAATGCCAGCCTATTTCAGAACAGGTACTCCCACAGTTCCAGCCATTTATGATGATTTTTACTGATTTTTCAAGACCCACAGAATATTGTGTACTATGACTATCTGAAATCAGATTCTAGTAAGTAAGTAAGTTAGTAAGTAAGTTTTTATTTATATACCGCCTTTTCACTGCAGATCTGAGTCTCAAAGCGGTTTACAATTGTTAATTATGGGCATTTGTCTCTCACTCCACACAGAGATGGGAGCGGGGTCGCCAGTACAGGAGGCGCATGCCAGAACTATTGGACATATTTTTAGTGGTAGGGGAAACCGGAGTACCCGGAGGAAACCTACGCAGACACGGGGAGAACATGCAAACTCCACTCAGAAAGGCCCTGGTCCGACCGGGATTCGAACCCAGGACCTTCTTGCTGAGAGGCGAGAGTGCTATCCACTCAGCCACCGTGCCGCCCTATTCTATTTTTCTAAAAGAATGAACTGTCTACTTTCCTCAGCAAAAATTGTTTTGTTTATAGCTTTTTTCGTTCCCCTGTAATCCTCCGTTGAGTAGAGAGAAGTTTTACTGAAATCACCAGAAATCACCAGAAAGTTGAGAAAAAAGAGGCACAACATGTGCACCTACATGTTTTCAAACCATTCAGAGAGAAATGCTGCCACCTGCTGGATCGATAAAATATGGTCTAAAGTCATCCCCATACATATTAGATACAATAGACATCTGGGAACGTGAAAATAGCGAAAAAGGGCATTTGACGTATTAATGCGTCAATGGCACACGACGTTACTATTTGCTTTGACGTATTTGTGCGTCAGTGGGACACAATGAGTTAATCAATCAAGCGGGATCTTCAGGCAAAGTGGGGGTAAGTGTCTTGCCCAAGGACACAGCGGCAGCCGACATCAGTGGGAGTTGTGGATCTGGTCTAGTGTTGGGCTCGAACCCACGACCTTCAGGCTCAAAGACCAATGCTCTATAAAATGTATCAGTCTTTCAGAGAGAAAAGGGACAGAGGGGACTTGGGCTGCATGATATATCGGAAAAATATCGTTATCGCGATATTGGTGCGTGCAATATCCATATCGGAAATATCTGCGACTTTTTAACTTATTTTAACAGACAACTTTCAACAAGAAAAACGTAAATAAATATAAGCATTTGAATGTCATTAATGTACTTATTTTTTGTTTCTTGCGTTTCGATGCAGATGCAATTTCAGGTGAAAGACAAAAATATCGCAATAATATCGTTATGGCAATACCATACACTCATATCGAATATCGCACTAATTTCTAATACCGTGCAGCCCTAGAGGGACCACACTCACTCAGCCAATCAGCTCTCAGTATGTACAATATAAAACGTTTTTTTTCAAGACTTTTTTTATTGGGACAAACAAATGTATTTATGAAGCCAATAAGAAATGTTAGGTGCTCGAGCTTTAGTGCATTTGGCCACAGCGGCTCGTCGTAGACCTGAGCGGCTCATCGCAGACCTGAGCGGCTCGTCGTAGACCTGAGCGGCTCATCGCAGACCTGAGCGGCTCGTCGTAGACCTGAGCGGCTCATCGCAGACCTGAGCGGCTCGTCGTAGAACTGAGCGGCTCATCACAGACCTGAGCGGCTCGTCGTAGACCTGAGCGGCTCATCACAGACCTGAGCGGCTCATAGACCTGAGTGGCTCATCACAGACCTGAGCGGCTCACAGACCTGAGCGGCTCATCACAGACCTGAGCGGCTCATAGACCTGAGTGGCTCATCACAGACCTGAGCGGCTCATAGACCTGAGCGGCTCATCACAGACCTGAGCGGCTCACAGACCTGAGCGGCTCATCACAGACCTGAGCGGCTCATCATAGACCTTAGCGGCTCATCATAGACCTGAGCGGCTCTTCGTAGACCTGAGCGGCTCATCATAGACCTGAGCGGCTCATCATAGACCTGAGCGGCTCTTCGCAGACCTGAGCGGCTCATCGCAGACCTGAGCGGCTCATCATAGACCTGAGCGGCTCATCATAGACCTGAGCGGCTCATCGCAGACCTGAGCGGCTCATCACAGACCTGAGCGGCTCATCATAGACCTGAGCGGCTCATCGCAGACTTGAGCGGCTCATCACAGACCTGAGCGGCTCATCACAGACCTGAGCGGCTCATCGCAGACCTGAGCGGCTCGTCACAGACCTGAGCGGCTCATCGCAGACCTGAGCGGCTCATCGCAGACCTGAGCGGCTCATCGCAGACCTGAGCGGCTCATCGCAGACCTGAGCGGCTCATCGCAGACCTGAGCGGCTCATCGCAGACCTGAGCGGCTCTTCGCAGACCTGAGCGGCTCGTCGTAGACCTGAGCGGCTCATTGCAGACCTGAGCGGCTCATCAGAGACCTGAGCGGCTCATCATAGACCAGGCATGTCCAAACCCAGGCCGGGAGCCAATTGCGGCCCTCATTGCCATTCTATTTGGCCCTCTGCCTTGCTAACCCAAAGAAGTATTTGAATTCATAAACCCAAGTTCACTGTGTCATCCATCCAACTTCAGCTCATCATATGGCTCAGAACGGCCCGATGCCAGTCAAGATAGTTTTTCCTTCCTGGACTAGTCTGGTGAACTAATGTGGCCCTCTCGCTGAAAAGTTTGGACACCCCTGTCATAGACCTCTTCATGGCACCAGTCGGGGACTCGTGACTCGGTCTTGGTTCATGTGGTGAGTGGTTTTACAGTCTTCAAACAACTTCAGTCGACTCGGAATAGACGCCAGAAAGACCAAAGAGAAAAGATGGAACCGGTTTCTTTACCATCGACATGTTTTGCGGAGGCTCCCACCTACTCCCCTTCTCAGAAGTTTAGCTCAAAGAAGTTTCAGGAGGAAGGAAGTCAAAGAAAACAGACACCAGTGGCACACACACTCAAAAGCTAAGCTACAATATACAGTAGTTAGTTAGTTATTTCAAAACCTGCACAACACAAGGTACAAATATCAATTATCAAATGAAAAACATGTCACCAGTTCTGAAAAAGGGGGTTGGGTGAAGCAGAAGGTTGTACATTTCCAACCCCCTCTCACACAATCAGCAAAACCACAAATACACATTAAATAGACACAAAGACAAGACGCACAAACACAAGACTGGTTCTCTCACTCAGACAGACACTGGCCCAAAGACTCCCTGACCACACACCTCTCTGGGCGGCACGGTGGCTGAGTGGATAGCACTCTCACCTCTCAGCAAGAAGGTCCTGGGTTCGAATCCCGGTCGGACCAGGGCCTTTCTCCGGGTACTCCGGTTTCCCCTACCACTAAAAATATGTACAATAGTTCTAGCATGCGCCTCCTGTACTGGAGACCCCGCTCCCATCTCTGTGTGGAGTGAGAGACAAATGCCCAAAAATAACGATTGTAAACCGCTTTGTGGCTCTGGTCTGTGAAAGGCGGTATATAAATAAACATTACTTACTTACTTACTCTCCCGCTGCTCTGTCCAGGCTCAGGGCATCACTCTGTCTTTTTAAAGTCAGTCATATTTGATGTTTTTAATTCTTCTTTTAATCCATTTCAAAGTTTTGACTGGTTCAAAAACAACAAATGGCCTTTACCTGCAGGTGAAAGATCCCGTCAGAAATCTGAAGCTAAGCAGGGCAGGGCCCTGTGTGTGTGAAGGGTTGGAGGTGGTCAGAGATGGCACATACTGGTTGCCTCGCTTCTGTAAGCGTGCCCCAGGGCAGCTGTGGCTAAAGTAGTAGTTTATCACCTCTGTACATAGGGTGAATGAAAAATCCCATGTGACGTGTCAAAAAAAGCACTAAAACAGATGCATTATTATAAAAAACTACAGTTTGATCATGAATCCTACTGAAAAAGACCATAATACAGATTATCATGTGCGTCGCATCAGTTATTGCAACACTGTGAACCTGTGTTTCGTATCAAATGTTGAGGCTCCTCTTCTCTTGTCTTGAATTACAATCAAGTATCACCACATTTCACTTCTTCACAAAAAAGCAAGATGAAAACAGAGCTTGAAACGCCGAGCGACGCAGGAATGATTCACGGCGTTGTTTTCCATCGAAACCACGTGAAGTCGTTTCTCTGGAGCAACAGTAACTTTCAGGCCTGTGCTGTTTTCAACCAAGAATAAAAGCTTTGGGGAAAAGAGGAATCCCTTCATCAGCACTCACATGTGACATTGTGCAAACCCTGCCTGCTCATTGGCTGCGGTGACATTGCTCACTGTTAATAATTTAGCACTTGGGTGGTGCGTGTGGGGGGGTAACATGACAAACAAATAGACACAGCAGCTCCACCTGTTAGCCTGGGACCAGCCTGGGACCGGCCTCTCCTCTGGCTGTAGCTGCTGACGCTGCAGTCCTGCGTAATGCACTCAGCCCGCCTGACCCTCGCCCAGGTCACCTACAGACCCGCGCCTCTGTTGTTCATTCACAGGAGGTAATTCGCCGCGGAAATATCTGGAAGCCATTTGCGCAGCACTTTCCTATGACTCAGTGAATAAAGAGCTGATTCCTGACTTTTGCAGATTTATTCCCGACGCGCGGAATGCTGCCGGCTTCATGGACAAACATGCGAGTCGCGGATCTGTGTGTTTGCTGTAGTGGTTTGACATGGACCTCGGAATACTGTCCTTTAGCTGGAAGGACACAGACAGAAGGAGAACAATCAATCAATCAACTTTTACTTGTATAGCACAGTTCAGACAGAATGCAACCCAAAGTGCTTCACATTAGCAACTTTTATAACACACTGTAAAAACACACACAAAATATAATTCTGGGCTGTTAAATCTAAAATTGATTCCTGTTTATAAGCTTGAAATACAATACAATCAATCAAAAGAGAAATAAATGTGTGTATTAATTGTGTACATATTCATAGATACATTCCTGAGTATCTATATCCAGATTATTCTCACAATATTATCATATTATTAGTTATGTCATTATTATTATTACTTTCAGATTGTTACTTTAATGTTTTTTTTTATTGTGGAATACTCTGCAAGCTTCTGTGAAAACGCAATTTCCCTGGATCAATAAAGTTGGTTAAATCGAAGTATAAATCAATGATAAATGATGTTCCGTAGCTAAAAGAAACCGTTTTCCTTCGGGAAGACTGTTCCAGATTCTAGGTGCATAGGTATCTCTGGGCAGCAGCAGGAGGCCAGTCCCTGTGCTCCTCAGAGTTGGACCCGGCTGAGATGGCACATGTAGCATAGGTACTGCACACACTGCCCTCGGAGAGGCCCCATGTGGGCATCGATCCCAACAGGACCTTCTTGCAGAACTTTCTCCTTCATTACATTAAAGAATTTGACAGAGGTTCTCTGTTGGTCCTAAAGATTCTGAGGAACCTACAGTAATAAAGTCTTTTGAGGGGACATGGCCTCACTAAGCCTGAATAATCCCAGTTTAGAGTCAGAATGTGTCTACATTACTGTCTTTGGAGTGCAGCTCTGAGGGCAACAGGCTTGACCCAGAGAGCCGGAAGTCTCTCATACATCATGTATTATTCACTACTTCTAAAAGACAATTGACCGTAGACCAGTGTTGTGCTGCAGCACCAGTGGAATGATTAGAGGATGTCTGTATTATGAAAACCTAATTTGCATAATTGAAAGCAGCTTTCTTCTGCGTCCGAATCAGATACTGGCCTCGTTCACGAGTGTGAAGTCATGATTTGCCTTGCACCTCTGAGATCACTGCAGCATGAGACCTTGTGTAGTGTTGTGGTTGTTTTGGCTTGCTCTTTAGACACATGTTCCCATGGTGCATTAGCTCAGTGTGGGGCCACAGTGAAGCAGTGTAATGACATTTACACCCATGCCAACAGCTCACGTTCCCACTGCTCCGTGTGGGTGGCAGGAGCAGTGATGCTGTCGTTGTGAGAGCTCAGTGTTTGGGGAGGACCTTCCCCACAGCAGCTCTGGCTCGCTGACCACAGCTCTGGCCTCCGCACACTCACTGTGGAGGCTTCCTGTTTGCTGCAGAGTGGACTGCTCTGTGTGGCTGCTGAGTCACGCTGCTAAACCAGGGACACACATGTCCTTCCACTCTCTGCATTGAACATGTTCTGTAGCGGATAAAAGTCTGGTTCAAAAAGCTGCTTTCAAGCCCAGTCGGAATGCCCCGATTTTATTAGTGAAGATAATGTGCACTTGGAACTTTATTGCTCAAAAAACACACTCACACATTCTTAAGCAGCAGGTTATCAGTGTGAGCCACCCACCTCCAGACTGCAGGGCAGTGGAACACACTGCTGCTGTTCAAATACATAGCACAAATCTAAAATTAGATAATGATGGGAATGATTTGAAAGAAAAACAGTAATTCCCGGTGGGGTCAGTGTGGAATATGGGAAAGTATGTTTCCATTATGTTGGCGTGGCCTAATGAATGTACTGTAGCTCATTTAGACTCACACAGGGCGCGGAGCTGGGTTCTTAAAGAGCTCTTTCATTTCCTCTACAGCACACAGTCTCTCTGTCTCATGGATCAACATCATCCTGATGTTCTGTCTTCATGATGGGGGCACTCACAGGACACAGCCTTTGTCAGGGCTCAGGCCCACAGAACAAGTCAAAGAGTGTTTTGGCTGCTGGCACTGCAGAAGGTTACTGGGCAAATGTTATACATAGAAATAGAAACTGTGCTCATTATGAAAACTATACACTTGAACACAGGGATATGAACCAAACAACACAAACTGATTCTAGAAACCAAGTATGTTTCACCTTCATAATGTGACTATAGCATCTAAAGACAATTGCCACTTGTTGAAAAGCAAAAGCCCACTTGAAGAGGATTGATCTGTTTACACTGTTTGACACATTTTTCCCTCAGTGAACTTTAAGCTGTATCGTGAGGTCTTGCGGTCAGACCACTGGTCTATTAACATGGGTCTGTTACTAATGCAAAACACTTAGGCTCTAATGACAAGAGGCTCATGCCCTGAGCACTCCAAGAGCAAAGCCACAGAATCCTCTGGCTCTGTCACTGTGGCGTATGTGGCCTGCTCCGTGTGACAGACTGCCCTTTGTGAACGACTGCATTCTCTCCTAAATCTTTGTTTTCTCGTTGGACAAAAGGCGACCACCTCAGTGTCCTCAAACCCCCACAACAAACAACCGTCCCACACAGTTCCTCTGGACTCAGCCTCGGTCCACAGAGGCACATTGTCCTCTGCAGCCCTCTGAAAGATTGCAGCTTGTCTTTGGTACTTTGCACACCAACACTATTGATCCTTTTCTCCCCACGGCTAATGTCTAATCAGAAGTGACTGAACAGGCAGAGCCCACTCTCACAGAGCTGGCCACACTCGTCTGTGCATTCCATCAGGTCTCAATGTGCTGCGTTACCGTCACTCCGCTTTTTCATTTTTGCTTTCAGAGGGTTACAAGGGTTAGTTACAAAGGAAATCATACATTTTTTCACTATATCTTTCATTATTGCTTTTTTTAAGGTATGCCAGGTGGATTAGATTCAGCAAATAAACAGGAGTTGGTGCTAATGCGGTTGTTAGAAATAAGTTGTTTATCAGAAGTATTTACACAATGTTAGCACTGGGAAAGATGTGAGAGGACCATGTTTCTTTTGCACACAGCAGAAAAGGCACAACATGGATTTTCTTTGAGATATCAGCCTCTGTGAAATTCTTTAATGATTATTTGAGATGAAATTCAAATGTAAGGGTTTTGCAAAGTGGATAATAAGTGATTTAACCCTATTTTCCATATTGCCCAACTCTAGATTAAAATATAATTGTGTTAAACGTGGCGTCAACATTTGCTTTATTTTGGCCCAGAAACCATCACAGACCATGGGACCTTGTCAAAACTCAGTTGGTCCGAAACCCTCAAATGCTGGACATGAGGAGGACTCAAACATTCAAGAATCAATGGGACTGAAACACTGCTGACGTCTTAGAAGCCTGTTTGAAATCAGACTCAAGAATCAAGTCCTGGTCCAGTCCTGGTCCAATGCGGGACAAGCTCTTTGTCCAGTTCTGGTCCAGACATGGTTCTATGTCCAGCTCTGGTCTCTCATTGGTTGACACAGCACTATGCCTCCCATTTAAAACCAATATGTAGAGTAACTATTAGAAAACAACTAATCTTTGTCAGACTGTGGCCCTGAAGCAGCAAAAGTACCACCAGTGAAGTACCAGCGACAGGTTGAAGAGCCGTCCCTTCCCCCGCCAGGAGGTGTTTGAATGAAGCTACATACGCCCTCTCCACACAATGCGAGGAAGGAAAGGCCCCGATTAGACCTCAGTACGCTAATGTTTTTCACGCGCTGCACAAATATCCCCCAAGATAAAGAGGCCCAGTGATGGAGGGCCTATCTGGAGAAGAAGTCGTAAAAGTGGAGGCGCTGGTGTGGCCCATTCAAGCTTAATTGTGCGCCTGTTCTCACCCGGGTTACCAGCTCCAGGACCGACAATAGCGATAACACCGCCTCCACAGCGTCAGCGTTGTTTAAGGGCATGACTCCTGGGTAAGCCCCGCCGGGAATAAGTACGTTCCCCGCAGCCCAACGCTAACTTCCACACTATTCACAGCGTTCATTTGTGCAGTCTGTCCACTAATGTGTCGTTCTCGTATTGCTATTTCAGCTTCATCCCGTAATGATTACCACGATCTGCAACGCGTTTGGTGTTTTGTTTGAGCCTCGCCTGAGCTGGAAGTATAGAGAATAATCTAATGAGAAAGTATTTAGAAACGTATTTAAGACATGATTTAAAGGACAACAAGAAAGCACACTCTGAAAACATCTTCAAACCTACTACAATTTACAAAAAATAATTGTTGAAGAAGAACATGGCAAACAGAGCAGGTGATGGCTCAAGCTGTGGCTGAAAACAAACCAATCATGCACCCATTTCTAAACCTGTAAACAGTATTTTGTGTGTGTGTGTGTGTGTGTGTGTGTGTGTGCGTGTACGCGAGTGTGTGTGTGAGTGTTCTCGTTTGTGAATATTTTGTCCATATGGCTGTCATTGGTGGGGGGAATGTCTTAATGTTAGATCACTGTTGTAAATATGTGTTATAGGGCGAGGCCTATTTTATTCATTCTGTTTAATGTGTTGCACTGTAGGGAAAAGCTCAACCAGGGACAGGAGCTGAAAATTAGCATTAGCAACACTCTCTGTATGTGTCGCATCAGCTGAATTTTCATAATGTAACTATGTATGACTACATTGTCCCTGTCAAATAAATGAATAAATAAATAAATACAATAAAATGGGAGAGAGGGGTAGGGTCAGAGAGTGTTTGGGCCGGTTTGTGTGTGAGAGAGTGTGTTTTGTGTGTCTCATACCCTCTGGTAGGGTGTGAGTCTCAGTCTGAGTTATTATACAGACTACAATTGTATTACAAATGCTCAAAGCTCACTGCCATTTCAGTTTCATAAAAGTCAGTTAAAATATGGAAAAACAGCAGGTGTTATGATTTGGGTTCACACATGTTCTCAGACTGGGCCGTGGTTTTAACCTCTTTAAAGTCCAAAGAGTCTCCGTGCATCTCTGCCAATCACTTTTAGGGAGCTGGGGGCAGGACAAAAGGGTTGGGGGCTGCATTTATTCCAACAGCTGTGAAGCACCTTACTAACACTTTTACACAAACTATTTCACTTTCCAGAACATTTGCACTGAACTAGCTTTGTCCAGTTCTTGTTTTCTTCAATGTTATATGGACTTTACTTTGTCTATTTGTAGATGCCTGTTCGCTGCAAAACCAATTCCCCTTAATGGGACAATAAAGAGAACTTTGAATAATATTTAACGTTTTTTTTTGGGCTTCTCTTTGTTCCAGATTGTACGACTAATTCTGCAGAGGCCTGATGGTAACATGAGTTATCAGTCCGCAGTTGTAAACAGCAGGACGTTGTAATGCAGTGAATATATCTGTTACAACTCACTTTGATAATACAAGGAATATTTGAGGGGATTGAAACCCAGTCCTCTTTTCAAATGGCCCACATAAAACATGAAAGCGAGCTCCTCAGATGGACTTACTGCAGTGCTCGGCCGGCTCGTAATCAAACGCTGCTTCTCCTCAGCCTCCTACACATATTTGGAATTAACGCAGCGGGAAATGTTTGGGGACCGAAGGAACTCAATGCAGCAAATACAAGATCACACCTGACTGTTTTAAAGATTCATCATTTGTGAGAATATGGTTGTTATCCGCTGCTTTACTCACATTACTATTCAAAGTTAATGATCTCAAAGATGGAGTAAAAGTGGATTTCATGGTTGGTTATAGTCTGGCCTTATCCATCCGTACACTCTGCTCAATTATCATGTCCTGCAGGTAACGTCTGGGTCTGGTTCCTGTTTTAGCGATTACACTCGGTTGAAATCCATCCGACCAATCAGAGAGCGCAGGAGGCGGGTGTTGTAGTTAGATGTGGGTGACGTCAAGGGTTTGCGCTGAATGGGCAGGTTGTAGTTTGGCGAAGAATACGATAGTAAAGTAATCGGGTCTGGTCCTATCAAAGAAATTGAAGCCGGAGCAAGAGGAATGTTTTGCAAATGGCAAAGATTGTGGCGCTACTCGTCCCCACAGTCTCCGTTAGCAGCAAAGGAGATGGCTAAAGCTAGGCTAATTGCTAACGACTCACTCGGGCGCAGTACATACGTCACGGTAAACTCAGATCCAATGGTTTGGATCTGCAAAAGGAGTTAACCCCTCCCACCTGTTCACGGAGTCAATGGAGCAAATCCCGACCTTTGTACGAAATGTAATTTGTACTATGGTGTGGTACGACCGGGCTTGGTTGGTTTGTAACGACGTCAACAATTTCAAGTAATCGAGGTCTCCATTGTGACATCCGCAGAACAGACGCAAACTTAAACACTAAAAGATGGATTTATTTAACCATGCTTTGTCCAGAAATTGATGCTGTAAATTGGAACCAACTGAGATTGACCGTGCATTCCTCTGTCTGTGGAAACCCCTCGGTCCCTTTAGGCCTGTCTCAAGTTTTGATGTAAATTCAAGCATTGTTTTGAATCTTCTGCACCTGATGAAGACTCCCAATGGAAGGCCAGGCAAGGCAAGGCAGGTTTATTTATATAGCACAATTCATACACAAGGCAATTCAAAGTGCTGAACAAAACAAGAAAGCATTAAAATCATAAATAATCACAGAACATTAAAAAGAAAGATACAAATATAAAATCCCTCAGTTGTATGCACAGATAAACAGCACTGTCTTTAACCTGGTTTTAAACATTGTCAGAGAGGAGGCCTGTCTCACATCTTCAGGAAGACTGTTCCAGATTTTAGCAGCATGAATCTGAAAAGCAGCCTCCCCAATGGAAGTCACTATTGCTTCCTGCCTGTGCGTTTCCCAGATTTTACCACTGGGGTTTTGATTGGTTCCTTGCTGTTGCAGGAGGGTCTTAGCTTAGGCAGGGGCCTCCAACCAGTAGGATGGATGGATTTAGAAACGTAATAATAATAATAATGCATCGGTTTTATATGGCGCTTTTTGGACACAGTCAAAGGCGCTTCACACGTCATTAGTAATTCATTCCACAGTGGTGATAAAGTACTTCCACAGCTGCCCTGGGGCACTCTGACAGAAGTAAGGCAACCAGTATGTTCCATCGGCCCCTACAAATCAAATAATATACATGGAATGATAAATAACGACTGTATCACCTGATTATTCCCCAGAACCGCTTCAAGAAACGCCTCTCTGTCTTTTTCGTTGTAGCTCTCTCGATGAAAAAGGTTGGCGACGCCTGATCTAGGGACATTGATTTCATTTATGGACCTTTATGGACAATTATTAAAATGTATGGACTTTGGTCATGGACTCTTGTATTCTCTGTGTTCGTACTGTTAACTGTACCATACCCCCACATGTGTCTTCAGTCCACACATCTTGTCTTCTTGATGTCTGTTGGGTTTCTTTGTCCTCATCCGTCCTGGCCTTGGCCTTGGTAAAGCATCCGAAAGTTTCCTCTTTGGTTTAGTCCCGGACCACACTCTCTCTGCGCGGATCGTGTGTCTACATATTTATGCGGTGAGGTCTTGGGATCCATCCTTTGTGAGTCCAGGAGTTGACAAGATGTTTTTTTTTCCCCCAGACACGTAGCTCGAAGCGGCTTCTCTGACTCTGATGTCGTCGTTCAGACAGAGTGGACCTGTTTGTCCACATGTAGCAGTAGAAGGTCCAGGTTACCAGGACAGATGTGTTGTAAAAGCAGCTCTTGATGTTATTAAGATACACATATGGAGATTTGGAGTCAGAAGTGCTTTATTGACCAGATAATGTTACTTCACTAATATAGCCAACTGGTTAGATTGATATTGTATCAGACTGGTTAGCTTGCTATTTTAGCCGACTGGTTAGCTTGCTATTGTATCAGACTGGTTAGCTTGCTATTGTATCAGACTGGTTAGCTTGCTATTGTAGCCAACTGGTTAGATTGATATTGTATCAGACTGGTTAGCTTGATATTGTATCAGCTATTGTATCAGACTGGTTAGCTTGCTATTTTAGCCGACTGGTTAGCTTGCTTTCAGCGTCAAACTTTGATGATTCCTGGGAAACTGTTATAGTGAGGAAAACGTTTGGACAGCTGGAAAATATTATTCTATTTCACGTTTATCAATGCTACAACTGTTTCCCCTGGATTCAGATTCAGAGTGGAGCACTTGTTTGTTTCTTTTGTTATTATGTGATACTGCCAATGGTCGCTGAAACAGAATAGCATGCCCGGTTATCGCGATAAACAATCTATATTGTCAACTTCCTCTTTATCTGACGTGCAAAGATGTCTCAGCAGAAAGACCAGGACTTCTTCTCATCGCACACTTTCTGCAGACGTTCCATGGTCGGATTAAATCAATCAATTCTGTTCAGCAACACAATATTGTTCAGACGCAATTAAATGGAAGCATTAGAGCAAAGTATTGTGATATTTACTGTAACTATTTATAGAATACAGTGCCTTGTCTGTAATAAGAATGCCTCAGAAACATATGAGGGACGTGAATTGCGATATATCACAGAATGGAATCGCAATACTTGTAATATATTTACAACGAAATCACCAACCAAATATTGCAAAACTATCGAATTGTCTATTTTTTTATTTTAATTCCCTCCCCTATTGTCCTGAAGTTCCCTGGAAAATCTCCCAATGGAGGCTTTCAAAAGTGATGCTCGAGTCACCTCACAATGTTTAAAATGATTCTATTCAATTTAACCCAATTTATTTATATATAGCCCTATAGTCACAAAACTTTTGAATTCGCCAAAACAGATCAAATGGGTTAGGAGCAGAGCAGAGACCAATGTCCAGACCAGTGGGGGAGGGTCCCAGCTCAAAAGTGGCCAAAATGACGTGCGCTGACATGCTGCAATACCACCCCGGGCCTGTGGGGGTGGACCCAGAAGAAGAATTAGCCAATGCTAACATATAGCATTGGCAGACCTCTGGAAAACGTCTTTACAGGATGGTCCAAAAGTTGACTCTTGGCCAAAGCTCCGTTCCACATGTGTGTCAATGCTGAGGGAGTGTTTTGGTCCACTCTAGTTTAGTCGCGGTGAATTTTTGAAGTCTCTCGTTCAAATGAATGGAGCTGCTCCGGCTGACGCATGCGCAGATGCGTTTTTTCACCATTTTCTTGTGGGCGGGACCACTCGCGGCCATTTTGGATAGCTCCAGTAGAGCACATTTTTTGGCCCATTAGTTAGAACGGCGGAGATAGGCGTGACTCTGTCCGTTAATATATACAGTCTATGGTCTATACACTGGTGCCATAAGTTATAGATAAAAGCCCTGCACCTCTTACTTAAACCTACTCTATCATGATACAGACAGCTCCTGGGAGGCCATTGCGAAGGCCTGGTCCAAACCTTGTAGGTGGAGAGGTTTTTGGCTCATCAAAAGGCTGATGTTGGATGTTTGAGCCGGGTTGCCAAGCAGAGAGGAAGGTTTTGATTTGGACTGGAGTCTCCCGGCAGCTTGTCGCAATTAGTGATGTCAGCAGGGAGAGAAACAAATACGCAGCGTTAGTTTCAAAGGCCATGCATTGCCGTCCCATGAGTTCACTCTTTCCTCACATTTCTCAAGGAAGTCGAAACAGGCAAAAGTGCAGGCCCTTCCCTCGCGCCGCACCGTTCACCGGCAGGTCAGCGTTCCCACACATGTCACAAGAATATGCGATTTAGTTAAATATTCATTGAAAATATACAAAAACATCTCACGGCCTTATCATAATAAAGCCACAGTATGTAGCCGATAACAGAAGTGTAGGTTTTCATCTGTTGTGGAAAGAGTTGTTGGAGGTTCTTTTTTTAGGATTAGGGTTAGGGTTATTTCTCGGGCTGTCAAACCATTACAATTTGTAATCCCGCTAATTACAGCTTAAAAATTAATTAATCTTAAGTAATCACATTTCAAACTTGATAAAATGATACCATATTTTTCTGTAAATGGTTGTTCGACATATGCCTCAAACAACCATATACCTGTCTCATGAAGGCTGTGGAAAAATTAGGTACCCCAGCTTTAATTTAGAGAGTTTAGTTGCTGTTCTTTTTAAACTTGAATTCCCAGAAGACCTGTCGCCATCACTCACATGTATCCGCAGCATTTTTATGGGATGCATGGGCAGGTCATTCAGTACATGTGTCAAATGCGTTCATTTTTTCAACGCGATTAATGACAAAGTTGAATTAATGTCTGTTAACGCGATCATTTTGACAGCCCTAGTTATTAGACAAAGAACACATCATCCCCACCGTTCCCATCTCAAACCCAAGTCCCTCTTCGCTCTTGCAGAAACTTTGTACAGTTTGATTGTTGATTATTGATGATTTTAAAGCTTATAGAAATAACATGGAGTCTTAAGGTAAGTAACGAAGGTGGTTTTAACAATTGCAAGAGAGGGAACAGATTTTATTGAAGCTGGGAGATTGTTCCAGTCCTCAGAGGCTCAAAAGCAAAAAGTTGTGTTTAAGTGTAAGTCTTGCAGTCTTTTGAGCGCCGTCTTTTGTGGTTCATTAAGTTCTGGTAAACTCTATTTGGTTGGTTCAGTGCTCAGATCACAGCTGATCAATTGTGCAATCTAGTTTAAAACATTCTTGGAATAGATTTTGTGACTCAGACACTATGAAGATGAAGGAGCTGCTCACACCATCTCAAAAGGTTAAACAAAGTCTAACACGGCTTTACAATAATTATTTGGTAATTGTCAGTGTCTGAATCTCTGCCCAAGCTTCCCATTCATGTGCCGAGGTTGGTTTCGTTTGACTGGATATAGCTAAAGAACTGATCAGAGAAAATGGGTTTAAAGAAGGTACTGGAAAATTAGTTATTGTTACCTCCTACTTGTGCTACCCTTGGGTCAAAGTTACCCACCCCCAATGGTATAAAAATGGAAGAAAAATACCGAAATTATGATCTAAAAGACTCAGAGCCTGTCAATGTAGAAAATATCATCAAAAATCAGCTCAAAAATGTATTATTTGGGGTATTTTTGAATCACTGTGGCAGGTAAATTCAAGGACAGCACAAGGGTTCGGACCTTTCTACGTTTGAACAGAAGGGCCAAGCTAGCTCTCTGATGTGAGGGGCCAAACCCTAGAGAAAGGGGTTCCCATGATCACATGTATTGAAAGATAATACATTAATATAACAACAATTGTGTATTTTTAGCCACTCTCACATCAGCTTTTTCAGGCAGAAAGTGAAAAAGAGAGACTCACCCCCACTCAGCCAATCAGCTCCAAGCCCAAAGCTTCGGATAGTGACTCCTATGGCTCAAGTATGCAAAAGGACGGCATTAGAATCTGTTTAGAGGAAACTTTCTCCGGCTGTGCTCACACAACGGTGGTTTGGTGATAAGAATTGAACACAGATTAAGTCTACCGCGTTGCTCAAATTCACACACTCTGAATGTAAGTTATAACATACCATCCTCGACAAAAAGGGCCTTTCACTAAACAGTCCTGGATCGCGTGGCCTTGGTCCTCCTTCTACAGCCTGGATCCATAGCTTGTACGTCCGTGGGCGTGGATCCCTCCCTCAATGTGGCCGTTTCTCATTTTTCCCCACCAGGTTTTTAGAGTTGGTCCTTGTAGATGCAGAAGGATCTAAGTACAGTGATCCAGAACACTTGACATTTAACGACATTTATCAACGTTTATGGAAATTGGTCTCTGCCCCTTCAGAGTGAGATCAATAAAGTCAATTCTATCTTATCTTATGGAACAAGGGCTCTATGTGTTTTTTTTATCGTTGCATTTCCTGATCTTTTTTGATGACTCGAACAGCTTTGCAAAGTCCTTCACGATAACTACTTTTGTGATTTAGGTCTGCGCAAAAATACATTGAATTGAAATGACTCTGCAAACATGTGTGCACCATTTTTTCCATTCCTGCTTCAAATAGTTGATAAACGCATCCTGAGAAGTCGGTCCAGAAAACTTGAAATGCTGGAACGAGCCGTAGCGCGTCTTAATATATCGCTGCTGCTTTTACACGCCCCACTTTATATTGCATTTATGATGATGTCGCTAAGCTCTGAATCGCCTCCACCTGTTTGTACGACGGGTCTTAACAGCTCTGTCTGAGACTCCATCTATCTGCACTATTTTACATCTCATTTCATGCTGCTCTAGTTCGTGCACTCAGCTTTCTCTCTCCAGCCAAGTTTCCCTTCCTCCCCTCACCCCTCCCCGATCTTCCTCCCTTTTTTGGGGCTGCTTAGGTATCCCATGCAGAGGCCATCTGTCTTCTCTAACGCTCAGGGTGGAGTGTGCTATTCCCCCTCCCTCTCCCTCTCCCCCTCCCTCTCCGCTTACTGTAAAATAAACAGAAAGGCTAAAGTTTCCTCCGTGCAGTGACGGCGGGCCGAAGCCGACACGTCCAGAGAGATCGATGATGCGAACGGGGGAACGGCAGCAGTTGCGGTAGCGTCAGGTATCTGCAGACACGTGTCCGCATACATCACAAAAATGTCACGCATTCCAGACGTGTTGTTTAAGCGGCTACGTAGTAAAGCCGGCCTTTTATACCAGGCACCTGTCACGCCCCCCGCCACCATCGGTCGGGTTTCCACACTGTTGCTGCATCATCCCACTCATTTAGCTTTGCGAGGCTAATCGGGCTATTTAAAGAAGCTAGCAATGAGCGAGTACTTGTGTTTCAATACAAGTTTTGCAGCTGTTTTCTGTCTGTCTTTAATTGCGTTTGGAGATTTGTTTTAAAGCCACAGTACATGCATTTTTAGCCAAAAATCTGAATAATTGTGTGTCGTAACAGTGTGCAGACTGCTGAAAACAATCACAGAAATGAATAGAGGAAAAATTATGTTTATGTGAAGCCAGGTCGCTGCCTAGAAAGTGCCCTGAATTCTACTACCTTGGCAGCTAAAGGATCAACATGTCATGAATGAGTTTTATTATATCAATGGCGGCATGGTGGCGCAGCAAGAAGGTCCTGGGTTTGATTCCACCTCCAGGCCTTTCTATGTGGAGTTTGCATGTTCTCCCCGTGTCTGCGTAGGTTACCTCCAGGTGCTCCGGTTTCCCCTACCGCCAAAAACACGTACACTAGGTTTGAATGTAATGAGAGAGTGAATGGATGAAAAATATCTGAACTCATACATAAGCTGAACTCAGCCTTTGTGACTTTGGTCTGCGAAATGTGCTATATAATTAAATATTACTTACTCAGCCCTCGCAGTTTGGCGAGATGTAACAATTGGAGCTGATCGTAAAAGATTTTTTCACTCTTATGTCTCGGTGCCATTTGAGAAAGGTGACAGGGGGGACAGAACACAGCTGTGGATCCAGATCAGAAGGCAGCAGAGTGGAAAATCCAACAGCCATATGGTCCTCCCCCTCTATGGGGTTCAGCTCAAACAGGGAACCACCACAAAGCTAGCTCCATCTCAGAGCGACCCACAACTAATAAGGGCTTTCTATTTAGGTCCTATTTAGCTTTGCTTCTTCTGGGGCAAATGTAAACAGTCTTTTGGAAGGTCCACAGGTCAATCCATGGAAAGTCATTAGAGCCCAGTGGGTAAAGCTAACACTGTTTCCCAAATCACACAGACACATTGTACTGAATCAAAATGTATGGTTTGAAAGGCACGCTTTACAGTAGGCATGTTCACACTCAGGAGAAAAGCAGGTGTCCAGTAGCAGCAAAAACACATCCATCCACACAAACAAAATTAATACATTGATTATTCTAAAAAGCTAATAATAATAATAAGAAACAGAACTTCAGGTCAAAGCAGCAGCCGCTTGGTTCAGACCATTTTCTCTGCTCTGGTTCTAAGTAAAATGCTAAAGGCTTTGTTAGCATTTTAAAAAAGTTAGCATTCCTCCAGTGGATTTCTGCCTGATCCACTTGGTTCGGACCATGAATCCTCTGTGCTCTGGTCTGGACCAGTGTAAAACCATGAACACCGAACTGCAGCAACATCTCAGGCAGAAAAAAGCCGGAAAAATGGCAATTGTTTCAGAGACACTTAGGACTCGCTGCCGTTTCCAGTGCATTCAAAAGTTTTAGGCCCTCTGCCTTGCTAAGCTAAAGCAGTCTTTGAGATCATAAACACAAGTTCACTCAGTCATCCATCCAGCTTCAGCTCATCCATTATAGACATGTCATAACTCATTCTAAAGCCCAGAACAGATTGACTTCAGTCGTTACTTTATTTACGAGGTTTTTAATTGTCTCAGAAACTCTCGTTAATGGTGCTACTTGGTCTTGCAGCCAGGTACAAGCCCTCAATGAAAACTATTTATCAACCTGTAACATTAGTAACAACCTTGCACGTTTTCAACAATACCCTCAACTTCCTGGTTTGGATGGGCATGGTCAGGTGTTGTGGTTCTTTTGGCACCCCCTCTGTTTACACCGCATCATTCGCCGTTAGCCTCTGATAAAGGACTGTGGGGAAAGTATTGTATATCTAAAGGATGTCAAAGTCTATTTTTCGTAGGTCTCTCAGTCTTTTAAAATCTAGAAGTGAGTAGCTTTTGCCACGCCCCCTTTTATCGATCATTTGGCCAAGTGGGGGCGGGTTCCGGGTCAAAAATGTCCAAAATGGCGTTCGCTGACATGCTGCAATACAACCCTGGGCCAGGAGTTAGATTTAGTCAATGCTAATGTGTAGCATCTTCTGACTTCTCGAAAACTTTGCAGAACAATCTAAAAGTTGCTCTTGGTCCAAAGCTCCGTTCCACATGTGTCAATGCTGAGGGGAGCGTTTTGGACCACTCTAGTGTAGTCGCTGTGGACTTTAGAAGGCACTCGTTCAAATGAATGGGGCTAGTGCAGCAAACACATGCGCAGATGTGGTTTTTGTTCACATTTTCCAGCCCCCGCGGCCATTTTGAAACTGCCCATAGACTATGAAAGTGTTGGCACGTTAGTTTCAACGCTAACACCTAAGCTTTTCATTGGTCGATTGAAGCCCTGGTCTTTAGTACTTTAGTTACCGTAGAGTTTGCTATTCAACGTGGCAGAGCTCCTCCGCAAGAATGTCCTGGGTTCAAATCACGGTCCGAACAGGGCCCCTCTGAGTGGGGTTTGCATGTTCTCCCTGTGTCTGTGTATGTTTCCTCCTGGTACCAGAGCAGTTCTCCCTGCCACTATAAACAATGTACAATGAACAATTGCTCCCCTCTCTCCGGGGGCCGGGACTCCCCTCATTCTGAGATCTGAGTGGGACTTTCCTGGTTTAAAAAGTTCTCAGTTCAATATGGCAGCGCTGACTTGTTGGAGAAAGCCATAAGGATAGTTTTTATTTGGAAAGGTATTCAGAGCCTGTACCGTAGCAGCAAAATATGTCTGTTTTTAACCTGGTTTTCTGCCATTGCAAACATTTCTAAAGCTTACAATCACAGGCAGGTTTCATCTCAGTGGTGTTTAGTTCACCTGCTCGTCTTACAACACAAAAACACTTGAGTATTTCCATCCCTCGCGTGTGCAAACAGCGAGACCAACAGGAAAAGCCGCCGTATTACTTCCCAGCATGAAACTACTCAACACAATGAAGCGCTCACTTAAGCCCGAGTCCCAAAGGCCCGGCCTCCACACTAAAATCACATGCACTGGGACTGGGCCTTATTTTGGGCCCGAGTGAAAGCGTGTGAGTGTATGTGCGCAATCACCCAAATTACAGGGGACCCAGAGAGCAATGCTGTGGTCAACCGCTCCGAGCCCAGCCAGCGACTCAAAATACCATATTTTTTACAACTCTGCTCCGTACATCCGCGACCAGCTACAAAGTGGACATGTATATATAGTCTTTGTAACCGAAGCAAAAGCAGGGAATGAAGTCTTTGCCGCTTTTTACGCACGAGCACCAGCCAGCGCGCTACGCAATTAATCCTCAAACCAAAAGTTGTAAATGTTAACGCAGTGTTTAAATGGGGACCCCGCCTTTTTTACAGTGACTCATGTCGGAGTGACAGTTCCAAGCGTACGGCGTGTTATTAAGGATTTATTCCGTCTCGGTAATCTGACATATTGCAATGATTTCAGTTCTGCTACCAGTTTTTCTTGTGAAGATGTGGTTTGTTACTTGTAATTTTGAATGATTTCTTGGCTCAAATATGAGAGAGACGAGGGCTACTTCTCTGGTTCTCTCAGTGGAAATGTATACCGTTGTGTGGTTAGTTCAGATTTTCATCCATATGAACTTTATTGCCTTTTTCTGTATAACATTATCACAGCATTCTGTTTCTTTAGCAACAAAAATCAACTTCCAACAACCCACAACTTCCACCTCATGCATCTAATTTCTGTTTCGTCTGGAATGTTCCACAGTATGGTATTTAAAGAAGACATCATAATAACAATAATGCATCTTCTTAGCAAGTTTTCCCGACGTTTCGTCCTCAAACTAGCGGACTTCTTCAGGGAATGAATTCTCGGACCGCGCGTTGGAGATTTATAATCTATGGGTGTGGTTAGCCACACCCTAATCCTGATACTAAATTCTGGCTCGGGAGAAGAATTGGTTTGAGAGAGGGGTGAAAGAAGCCATTTTTGTGAGGAAACAAAAACCTTCTCTTAACAGAGGCGGAGGGTTAAGATTTGTTTTGCCTCGCATCTATGTCGACATCCTAAAAACAACGCCCTAACTTGGGACAAGGTCAGTGACATGCTAATGAGTTAGGAGGGGTGAGACCTGCACTCCACTTGAGCATCCCAGCAGACAATAGGTCTGTGACATGCTAAGGAGTTAGGGTCGTTAGCCTCAGCAGGGTCGTTAGATCTGCTCCCTTCTACATCAGACCTTAGATTGTTTATGAGTATCAGGATTAGGGTGTGGCTAACCACACCCATAGGTTATAAATCTCCAACGCGCGGTCCGAGAATTCATTCCCTGAAGAAGTCCTTTGGTTTGAGGACGAAACGTCGGGAAAACTTGCTAAGAAGTACAGATGATGGGTGAGAAACCTTCCTTTGCTTTGACTAATCCCTGTACGACTGAGGGCTTACACAAAAATAATGCATCTTATTTAAACCATTGACTGAGACTGGTGATTTCTGTAAAACTTCCCTCTCCCCTCTATTCGACTGGGGATTACAGGAGAACAAAACTAGCTAGAATCCAAAATATTTTTGCTGATAAAAGTAGACGGTCCAATCTTTCAGAATCTGGTTTTATATTTCACATAGTCATAGTATAAAATAATCTGTGGGTCTTGAAAGTCAGTAAAATCATCAAAAACGGCTGGCAGTCAATGAGTTAAAAGCCCCCTTTTTCAAAACAGCCGAGGACACTACATACATGGTTAAAAGCAGAGAGCCATTAAAAACATGAGCGTTATTGAAAACAACAAAACTGGATCCAAAATCAAAGTAAGGATCAAAAAAACAACTTGAACATTTTACCAATTCAGATTTTTTTAGAACTGATTTTGTTCTACCCACATAAATTGGCATATAAGTCATAT